GCATCAGCGTTTAACACAAAACACTTTCTCTCTTATAAAATTCTTATAGAAAATGGAAAACAATGTTAAAGCATCTGAAGACAAGGCAAGACACAACCTCTGCCTTATACTTAAGCTGCTGCCAAAGCTGCCGGCGATTGAGGTGTCACAACTTTCGTCTCCATTTCAGCTGAAGGACCCCTAAGATCTAAGCCAGGGGTAAGCGACCTTGGCTCTTTTATGACTCGTGGACTTCAACTCCCAGAATTCCTGAGCCAGCCACGCTAGCTCAGGGATTCTGGGAGTTGAAGTCCACGAGTCATAAAAGAGCCAAGGTTGCCTACCCCTGATCTAAGCCATTCTTCCAATTCAAGACAGCGCACAACCCACTTTGAAAACCGATTTCTGCTCATTGTACAGACTGCTTAACCGTCAACTGGGAAATGGCTGCATAAAAAGATAAGAAAACTGTAAAGGCACAAAAAACTGTCTAGGTTTTAGCTTTAGATGTTTCTTTATAGGTTTCACTGCTGTGATGCCAGCATCTTCTGGGATCAGGATGCCTAACCACAATGAATTCAAAGAATACTTTTTCAGCGTCACCCTTGCACTCTGGTTCTCTAAACCCAGGTTGTTTGGGGGGGGGGGGTTTGGGGCCTGGTGCTATTATCTTTGTAGATCAATATTGAGAAATAAAAATGGAGAACGCTGTTGTCGAAATTACCTTCCCTCCATCAGTCAAGGCTTATATTACTTCGTCCAGAAAGAGACAAGTCTAGGAATCAAGTGAGTAATTGCACAATTTCATTCCCTATTACACCAATTGCTGGGAACAAAGAAAACACTCTCATCAAGTACACTGCCTCCAGTGAAGTAGAATAGCCTCTTCTAACCAAGTCATTGGACTGACAAAAGCCAGCTCAATGATCTTCTGGGATTTCTAATTACTACAACCCTCCGATGCTAGCAGCCAAACAACAAAGCCTACCGCGAATATGGTCTAGAGGCCTCAACCTTGAATCAGTGGCTGAGCAGCAATTTGTTGTGTAGACCCAATCTCTTCCACGTAGGGGTTAATTAGCAATCTCCATCTGGCAAAAAAAGATCTTCTCCACAGGAAGCCAGAACAGCTTCTAATCTCCTGTGATTTCAAAAGCCCCCAAATATCTATCGTTCACGCAGTTTGATCAACGCTTCAAGTCTCACATCAACACACGAATGCCAGGCTATTAGAACTCGACTTTCAGAGATAGTGTAGAGCAGGCATGTCAAACACGCGGCCCGCGGGCGGGATGTGGCCTGTGCAAGCCACGCCCACCCCGGCCCCGCAAAGGCAAAAAAAGTCCCGATATGTCACAATATGGTCCGCGATGCAATTGGGTTTGATACCCCTGTTGTACCCAGTGCAGATTCTCCAGCTAGCAACATAAAAGCGAAGAGAAAACCAACAGTGGTCTTAATTGAGCTACGAAAGGTATTACCTGCATTGCTATATCACCTTTTTTCTTGAGGGTGGAGCATTCCTCTAAAATGCTTTCCCCACATACTTTCACCTCAAAAGCCCAAATGCTTTTTTCCCCCCCTAATGCTCTCTATTCCTTATTTCTTCCAGTGGTTTGGAAAGCATCCTTCTGCAAACGCGGAGACTAAGACAATCTCCACTGCAAAAGCAACCATAGTACTTGGGATCCTCATTGAGTGTAATCTTTAAGAAATATTAAACGTTTTACAGTATGATGCTGGGCAGCTTAGCAGCAAGCCACTATTGACAATACTTGAGTTTAAAGCAGTCTGACCTCTTGTAAAAGGCAGTTCAGAAATATTGGCAGGAGAAACATTAGCACCTATTGCTCATATCAGGCATGAAAACCAACCACAGAAAATCACAGGCATACCGTTTTGTGACACAAGTAAAAATTCTACAGGAACCCCTGCAAAAAGTGACACAAATCTTTTAGAGTACTGGAAAGGGAGGGAGGGAGGAATGAAGGAAGGAAAGAAGAAGGAAGGAAGGAAGGAAGGAAGGAAGGAAGGAAGGAAGAAAGGAAGGAAGGAAGGAAGGAAGGAAGGAAGGAAGGAAGGAAGGAAGGAAGGAAGGAAGGAAGGAAGGAAGGAAGGAAGGGTCAAAACTGATACTCTGATTCCAATGGTTTTTTTGACAGCTGTGCTACATAGAAAAAAAGAACAGTCTCCTTCTTTCCACGCTGATGTTATGCCAATGTATCTTTATGTTTTCAGATATTTTGTATGTGCATGTGATATCACAAAGGAAGTTTAAAGGGTAGCATGGAAAGATCTAAACAAAATGATGGGGGGGGGGGGAGAGCTGTAGCTACTATATTTGGATCATAAATATCCCAAACAGAAAAAAGTTCACAGAAAGCTAGGGCTATTATAGTTCAGAAAAGAATTAATTCTAGAAAAATCTGGGAATTAACACCTGGAATCCAGTCAGGGTTGTAGAGACCCAAGCAGGACAGACTGGGGTTTCTCCTTGCCTTTTTCCTTAGCACAAATAGGGAGAGTAAAAGTTCAGGATCCTAGGAAGAATGCCAGGTAGCTAATTAAGGTTGTCTGCAATGTAAGCAAAGATTTGTCTCCACAGTGGCTCAGCTTGAGAGCAGATTTTTCAAAGTCGTGTTGCGGGTAGAACTGTCATCAAAACACCTATGGAGGGCTCAGAGGAGGCTCCCCCCCCCATCTTATGAAGCCTTGAAACTATCAAATTAACCAGATATCCTCCATGAAGCACAGCCTATCTATCATTGTTCAAGGGAGCCTCCAGAAACCCAGTGATGGGTTGATTTAATTGAGGTTTGTTCCCCAAAACAAACTACTTATGGGGAGGTCTGCCAAGCAAAGATCTTCCTTTCGTGAATTCCCACATAATGAAGTCAGCACGGTAGTCTAATCCAAAGCGGCACAGAACAAATATTGTCTTTGAGGGTTAGAAATGTACTCGTTAAATCACCAGAGGGCTGGTTTTCTACATATTTACGTAATGGTGGAATTTCTAAAGACATGTCTACAACAAAATTTCCGCGTGCGTACAGAAAATGAGCACTTGAGGGAGAAATTTTCAATACCGTCTATGGGAGGTAATGCTTAAAAACAGTACCAATCGCCATCACCATCTGACGTTCGCAAATGGCCCAAGTCTGATTTCTACTCCTCAGATCCATTAACCTTATTTTGCGTAAGTTGGAACATGGGTTATTGGTTTTGGCTGGCCTAAATAGTAAAGCCCAATCAGTAGTTTACAACTTATTTCAAAATCAGTCAACAGGACAAACTTAAAACTGCACCGAGAAGCAGCGGAGAAAGTAACCGCTATGGCTCCTAATAGCAGGGCTACATGAAAAAAAACTGAATCGGTTTTTATTGTTGTGGTTTTGAGCAATCTGAATATCACAACTTCAAAGGAAAACAGAATCTCCCAGGCTGATCTCAATACTTTCACTTAACTCTTACTGCCGTTGTTCCGAGTGGGGGGGTGAAAATCACGGTGGTAAAATACGAGTAGATGTGGCACAAAGCAAATATAAAATTACATTTCTGAAATACTGAAAGAACGGGCAGCGTAGCTTTCTGAACCTCCAATGGTTTTAGGCCCGAAATTTCTACCGTAGTTTAGCTCCACATTTGCAACACTGGACCCCCCCCCCAAAAAAAACCACGCCCAACCATCTCTACGTGCAGCCCTAAAACCTCCTGCTTGTGCGAAAGGAGATATTAACACAGCCTGTTCAGATGCAACCGATACATTCAAAAGCCCAAATGTCTACAAGCCAGATTCACTGAAATGTCTGACTGCAGAAACGCTTGCAACAATTGCACTAGAAAATATTATTTGCCAATTTTACCAAGTTCTGAGGCTCATCGGCAGCCAGGGATTCATTTAAACAAACGAAAATAACAGAGGGACACAATGTTAACAATCTCGCTGGGTTCCTTAACGATCCCCCATAGGAGACCAATACATAGAAGAATACAGGACATTGATTGGCGGACACTGCCCCCCAGGTAAACACCGTAAAGAGAGGCACGGAGTCTTCAAAAAGTATACTCAGAAGAGGAATTTCCTGCCTCTGTGGCACAAATGTGGTAACAGCCACTTGGACAACATTCTTAGATTACCTGGGATGCATTGGGGATTAGACCTGCCTTCCCTTCTCTAACCAAGCAGCAATGCCTCCATGCTTGGGATATGAAACTATCTTTCTCCCTCTCTCTCATACTCTGTTGGGAGATTTTAAAAAACTCTCTTCCAAAAGAGAAAAAGTGGACTAGAGAAAGGATATTTCTCCAGCTCTCCCTTCCGGTGGACTTGGAATATACCCCTCCACCTTTCATGTACTTTCTCACTATGGTCAGCTAAGATGTGACAATAATGGGAATAAACAGGACCAGAGACTAGATGACAGCAAGCCACTAGGTTTTAGAGAAAAGAGAGGCAGTGCTGGAGACAAGCAAAGGCCTTTGTTGTGTTTTTCAACAAGTAACTGGGGGGAGAAAAAGCTGCGGCGGCGGTGGGGGGAACGTCTGAACCCAGTTCTTGAAAAAGAAAGAATTGAGGGATCACATTCTGACAGCCCTTGGGCAATGCATATGTACGAGTCAATAGATATTTATATTTCATAAGTATATAAAATAGGATCAAAATAAAGCCAAGTAGATTTACAGATCGAAAGATAAAAGGAACCAGAAATATCACAGTACGGGAACAGCCCAAGTGCCACCACATCCCAGGTGTGCACTCTGCCATGTTTACAAAAGTACGTGTAGAAAAGTGTCCCAGAGGAAAGCCAGCGGTGGTCTCTACTCTTCTCAACGGGGCCTTAAAGATCTCCTCCGGTATTTCTAAACATGATTTTGTAATCCAGTTGTTGCTCAGCTCTGCGGAATTTCCCCCAAATGCCAGCCAGGACCTGAGGATCAGCCGCCTGAGTAGTACAGACGTGTAGGCCCTCACCCGGTCTGAGAGACTTGACGCTGATTTGATCATCCTCACGTGGTGGCCTTGGAGCTCCAACTCAACTGAATGACTCAAGGGATGCTGAGAGACTGAGGCAATGGCCGAATTCTGATCACCGGGGACAGGTTAACATTAAGGATCTGTTGTGCTCTCCTCCTCAATTCATCGTCTGAAGAGTTGTCCACTTTGATGGCCTGGAATTTCAGCAGGTTTGGCGTTTTCGAAGCCGGTTCTGGTTTATTCGGTGGCGGAACAGAACCGGGCGTCTTTCTACACGGCAACTCTTTCCCTTCGTCTGCTCGTCTTCTTTTCTCCCCAATTGCCTGCTGATGGCTGTCCCCGCTTTTCCGTTCAGTTTTGGCCACCGGCGGTTCCTTAATTCTGGAGGCCCCCGTGCTACAGCTCTGGGAGTTGGTCCCAGAAATCCGGCCATTCAGGATTCCAGAGGCTTTGCAAGCATAACTTTCCTGAAGCACCCCACCCTTTGGTCCTTTTATAAGGCTCATCGTGAGAGCAGCAGAGTCCGGCACTTTTGTTATGACCGGTAAATGCCTATATCCTTTGGGGTCCAACTGATTAGACGACATCTTAGTGGCCTTCCCTGCTGAAGACTGCATAGATGCAGTGGATGCTTTGAGATGCTTAAGGTCTGCAGGAGAGATCCCGAGGTGCCCTTGTTTGCATTTTGATTCCAGACAAGAGGCAGTGGCTTTCAGAGGGACTAAGGCTTCCAGCACCACTGAGAGCCTCATGGCTGGATAGACGCCAGGGTACATATTAGCAGGGAAGCTCATTGCCGAGGCTTTTGATGTGCCCGAACGTGTCCGTTTCAATGAGTTCAATAGGAGGTTTGTGGAGTTACTGCTCTTTGACATCAGCTTAGCAGATTCTTTAGAAGAGCTCACGGTAATACTTGCCAAGGGGGCAGGTACTTTTTCTATGGTTACGATGTTCCTTGCTGGAGCCTTGGCAGACTCTGAAATAGGAACAGCTGTTTCTGAAATGCCTTGAATATTGCCTTTTGTTTGGCCAGGTGCATTGGCAGTGCAGGAACTATAACCATACACGTCTTTGCTCCGCAGGATTGTGGGTTGGTGGCCTTCTTCTTTAAGGCCTTGGAGAAAAGCTACTAACTGGGTCTCCGTGTCCGACAGGTCCTTGGACATGGGGTTAAACACCCGGAGAGCTTCTTCCAAGGCTTTCTGTCCTGCAGAGGAGATCCTTGACCAGGAATGGACAGCTTTCTCTTCCACATTGTCCGCTTCAACATTCATGGCATTAGGCTGGCAGGAGCTTCTAGTAGATCCAAACCCCACTGGGAAACCAGCACAGGTCACCTTAAAGGAAAAAGGAAAAAAAAAGTAATTAACTTACAACCCGAGAAACGTTTACTTTGAAGATTTTAGGAGGCGAGGAGAACTGTAAACCTTTTAAATACATATTTTTATTGGAACCAAACTTTACATACAGTATACTATTAGACCTCTTCTCCTCTGTGTTGGTTTTTTATTTAATTGATTTCTGGCTTCCGTTATAAGTTACGGTGGTTTTTTAAAAAAAATGTTTTATTGATTTTCTAATTTTACATTTAAGTATTTAAAAAGCAACGTGGCGGCTGAGTTAATCGAAAATTCAATGACATACAAACATCTTTAGTGCAAGTCTCAAACTACCACATTAAATATTTCCTCTCTTTTCCCCTTGGTATTTACTGTCTCATGTTTAAACTAATACAATTCTTATTGTATCAATTAAATAAAAATAAAATTCTTATATTTGTCAATAATTTTTAACTTATGTATGTCCTGGTTATTTTAACATTCAGTCTTTATAGATAATCAATGTCCTAATTAGTTTTTCCCAATTTTTAGTTTCCCATTAATTTTTTAAATTTAGCATTTAATATTTATAATTTCCAAGTTTTAAGTGACCGAAGTTCCCTTTATCACAATTCATCACAAAGTCTAATATTCAGGATACACGTCTTATCTATTTGAATATATTCTATTTCTCACCATTTTACATCATCTAATTAATAATATAGTATAACATTCTTATTTTCTATTAATTTCCAAACGTCTTAAATTTAGTAACCAAAATTTCTCTTGTTTCAACACCAAATACTTCCTCTCTTTTTCTCTTAATGTCTACTATCTCATATTTAAGCTAGTACAGTTCTTATTATATCAGCTAAGTAAAAACATGTTTATTACATTTATCAATAGATTTTAGCGTATATATATATCTTAATTACTTTTACATTCAACCTTTATAAACAAATCAATACTCAAATTTAACTTTGAATATTTATACTTCCAAGTTTTAAATGACCAAAGTTTTCTTTATCTCAGTTCATAACAAAATCTAGTATTCAAAGTACACATCTTGTCTATTCGAGTATATTCTATTTTAATCCTCACTAATAAGGTCAAAACCCCAATTTTCTTTAACCTTATTCTAGCTTTCTTTCTTTGCCAACTCAGCTTCCATATCCGTGCTTTTAAGTCATCAAATAGTTCTCCCTCTGTTATTATATATATTGTTTGAGATAAAAGAGGCCATCCAGTCACCATTTTTTTGGAAGGGCTAACAAATCGTCTCTCTATTTTTCCATCTCGACGTAGTTCTCCTGAAATGTTTATCTTCCCTTCGGTCTGTTCTTCTTGATCCTCAGGTTTCTTCTGGTGTGTTAAATTAAAAGCTTTACAATCAGAGAATGAAAATAATTTTGTCACTGGGTATAGAACACAGCTGGGCTTCTCACAGCTGATATCTGCCAAGGTTGCAAAAGTCTTATTTATAGTCTGGGCTTCAAGCCAAATCTCTTTTAGACAATAACAAGTTGTAATATCAGGTTTAGCCACAAAATGTTGCCCATACCATTTAAGATTTTTGGTTTTTTTAAGTCCAAAATTTTTATAATCCTTTTTCAATTTTACTTCTTTTTTGTAAGTAAAAACCCAAATCTTCAATAAGAATAAGAAATCTTTTAGTCCTCAAATTTTAGAAAGATAAAAATCCAGTTAGAATCAAGTTATTCTTTCAGCGTTTTAAACTCCCCTGGATAGTCAGTCGCCGCTATTTTCAGAGGGTAGGATACAATTTCCCTTCCCTCTCTCCACAGGAGGGAAAATACTTTAGGCAGCTTATATAGGTGGAAAAAATAATTAGGCTTGAAGAGAGGTTCAGATCTCAACCAATCTCATCCGCGCTGCATTATAGGTGCCTGGTGGTAAGTTTGACTTCAGCTGTCTGCAGTCTAGTGATGGGCCATATTTCTATGGCCGGTCTGTCATCTGCTGGTTTGGAGAGTTGCCCCGGATCAAGCGGGAGGGCTACCACCCTCCTGCGATCTAGCAGGGATCCCCTCCTTGCTTGTTGCCCATACAGGGCGACTTTCAACCCTTTCCAGGATCCCCCAGCGGTGCAAAATCAGACATGGAAGAGGGGGCTCGTTTTCCAGTGTCCGTGGCGGCCGCATCGGCAAACCGGAAGTCTATGGTGTTTACCTACATATCCAAAAACAAAAATACTTAACTGCATGCCTGCTTCCACAGGATTTGTCTTTAAGCATCAAATTCATTTATGAATTCCCTAGCAGGGTGTGTCCAATATATTCAGAAGGTTGACATGAAAGGGAGGGCCCTTTTCTCTCCTCCCCCATGGCAGCTATGGAATTTTCCCCACCAAAATTTGCAGGCTTTTAGAATACATTACTATATAAATACGGATTGTATATAAATATGGGTTTCATTTATTTAATGTAATTTCAAACAAAGATGCTCAACTGCATGAAGGGTCCCTTAAATAACATGGACAAATTAAGATATAGTTAGGAGTGGGTTTCCTTCCAATAATCATAATTAAGAATAATTACATGTTGGAATTGGACAACATGACTGACTGAAGTAAATTTAAGATCAAATGAAAACTCCTGAATGATTATTTATAACCAAGATAAAGGAGAAAGCAAACACATCCATGTTTCATTCTGGCTTGTTCTTATAAGCCAGACATGTCCAAAGTCCGGCCCGCAGGCCATTTGCGGCCCGCGTTCCGGTTTAATCCGGCCCTCAAACAGCCCTCCCTGCTCTATGTAAATGCGGCCCTCCCACGGCCCTCCGGCAAGTCCCATGAGAGAGAGAGAGAGACAGAGACAGAGGCACTTGCACTTCTCTCTCTCTCTCTCTCTCTCTCTCTCTCTCATGGGACTTGCCCCCTCGCAGGGCTCCTCATTGGCCCTGCGTCCGGGTGCCCTGCCCCCTGGGAGAAGGGCGGCCAGGAAGTCCCTTTCCTGGGCTGGCCCCGTCCCAGGCGCATGTGGCTGGGGAGCCATGTGGGGAAGCCCCGGGATCCCCGCTGGGAGCAACCCCCCGGAGCCTTTGCTGAGTGGGCCAGCCCTCCCGTAAGCCGCAGCCCCGAGAGAGAGCAGCCCCTGCGATGTCCAGCCGGTGCAATCGTTGGCCAAGCAGCAGCAGAGCCGGAGATGGAAGGTCAGTGGCAGGAGGGGAGGGAGGGAGCTCTGAGTCCGCAAAGCACCGCCGCGAAGTGGCTGCGGGGCAGGTGGTTCGCCCCCCCGGCTTACTTGTTCCAGTCTCGGCTGGGGCATCGCTTCCTGGGCCGCTCCCTGGGCAGCCGAACCAGCCACATGTCTCCCCGTGCTGGGCGGCAGTCATGGCTGGTGCGGCAGCCAGCGGGAGCATCGTTCCCCGGGAAGCCGAACCGGCCACATGTCTCCCCAGCCCGGGCCGGACGGCAGTCAGGCATGAAGCTTGCCTGGCTGCCGCAGGGCTCTCCGCCGCCCGGCCCCACCTCGGCCCCATCGGTGGCACCTTCCTCGGGCACTTTCAGGGAGCCGCCGCTGCTGCCCTCGTTGCTGCAGGAGAAGGAGACCTTGGGATGCGA